GGGGCTCAGGGGGGCGTGTGTGGAAAGAGACGAAATTTGAGGGGCAGGGTTGATTTTTGTATCTAAACCTATACTGAAAGAGACTCTGTGTGTGACCTATAGAAGGTCTCACTTACAAATGCCGCCACTATGGCAATCAAATTTCAATATAAGTTTCCAAGGGGACAGAGTACAGCAAAGAGTTTGGGGGAGGGGCTTGGGGAATCTCAGAATAAAGGTGATGAGGTGGAGGTAATGGAGCCCTTTCAGGTGTCCTTGGCTTCAGCTCCTCTTTCTCCCACCTCTTCCTCGGGCCACCATGCCCTCTGTTTGCCTTTAAGAGCTCACATCCAAGACTCATTGCAGGATTTGCTGTGTGCTCTTGGGGCCACTGTCCTAATTCTCCTACCTCAGAGGGCCTGGGCTGCCTGGAGGGCACTCATCCGCTGCCCCCTGCACCACCTGAGTACTTAGCCCAAGGTGACCTAGTAATCTGCTTCCCCAGCATCTTTGAGGCCAGTTGAGTGGGATTTCTCAAAATCATCCCCTCTCCAGCTTGGCTTCTTAACCTGCCCTGCTGCCTCCCTTTCTATTCACCTTCCAAGGGCATTTCCCAAGTAAATCATTTGTGCGTGAACCACCTTCATCTCATGGTCTGTGTAAGAAAATGCTTCGAGACTAGAGGGAGACAAGTGCAAGGCACTTACCTCAGTGCATGGCTGTCACGCGAGGCTCCAAATATCATGTCTGGTTAGGATGGTTCTCTCCTTCGTCTTTTGGGCTCTGGTAGAGTAGTGCCAAGGTGTGCAGCATTGGTCCACCCAGTTGGGTATAGGGAAGAAGGATTTGAGTGAAATGGAAAGAGCATCAAGAAAGCGTATTGTAAATAGCATACTGGAAATCTAACCACCCATGCTCTGTATGTAAATGTATGCAAATGTATGCAAAATGGAGGCAATAGAAGTCAACGGAATTGGCATTGCTGAGAGATGGAATAGCAATCTCCCCTCCCTTTCCCTTTCCTTCCCTCCGTTCCCTCCCCTCTTACCCACCCTGCCTCTCCTCTCTTCCTTTCACTCTGATTGGCAAGTCCTTTATTCTAAGAATTAAATATTTCAGCTGTTTTTCCACTTAAAGAAATCACCCAGGTATCTAAAGTGAAGGGGAATCTTGGTAGTGGTGTGGATGGGGTCCAAGCATTCAATGTGGGCAAGGCTGACAGAGCAATCAGTGGTCCAAGACCCTCATCTTGTAAGTGTAAGTGGTGGTATTTGCCACCTGGGACAGAGCACTAGGAGAAAGAGAAGCTCTTTCTCAAGACAGAGTATGGAGGATTTGCAAGGCAGTGTGAACAGTGGTGGATTATATTTTCTTTTTTCTTTCTTTTTCTTAAGATTTATTTATTTATTATACACAGTGTTCTGCCTACATATATGCTTGCAGGTCAGAAGAGGGCACCAGATCCCATTACGGATGGTTGTGAGCCACCATGTGGTTGCTGGGAATTGAACTCAGGACCTCTGGAAGAGCAGCCAGTGCTCTTAACCGCTGAGCCATCTCTCCAGCCCCAGGTTATATTTTCTTGAGCTATGTGTAATGACAAAATTAGAAGGCAGTTTTCAGTGTATGTGGACAGGCTCGCTCAGGAATTATTTTCCCCTGAGCCCCATGATATAATTGGCAAATAAAAGTTGCAAGTCTTGGTTTCTTGCCATTCATGAGGGTTAGATGACCTTAAAAAAAGAGAAAGGCCAGACAAGACCAAACAACTCATCCTTATAGCTCATAATATGCACCGTCAGGAAAACCTATTTAAGCTTCTCAGGTGGCAGGAAGCTAAACCTAGTTTCTCCTCTTGCTGGTCAGAGGACAGTCTGTCGCCTGACTGGGTCAGAGTCTGCCAGCATCTGCTGAATCATGTTGTTTTGGAGCAGCGGTAGGCCAGGACTTTCATCATCAAAGCCAGCATTTCCATGCAGGCCCATCTGCTCTGAAGGTTGTGATTAGTTATATCTGGAGAGGGACCTGGAATCCTTATTTGGATTTTGATCCCAAGGCATGGGAAAAAGGCTAACTGTAGGAATGGATTGGGGTAGGGTGTGTGGGTGTGAATTGACCAGCATTCCCATCACCAATGGAATGGGAAACAGAATGGGGATGAGTCCAGCATTGGTCCACCCAGTTGGGCATGGCAAAGAAACATTTCAATGAAATTGAAAGAGCATGGGAAAGTGTATTGTTACTATCATGCTCAAGATCCATTCACCTTGGCTTTGCATGAAAATGCATGCAAAATGAGGGTGACAGGAACCAGGTAGAATATAAGTGCTTAGAATATTAGGGGGCAGCAGGAAGCAAAAGGTGGATGGCACATACTGTCATGTGGCTGGGTTTCTAAACCAGAAAATCATCAAAACAGATGACAGATGGTGATTTGTGGGGGAACGCATTGGCAAGACAATGATGACCTGAAACACACCGAAGGACACTTGTGTGTTTTAAGGGCAGAGATTGAACGTGAGTTTATGGGAGAAACATAAAACTTGCATGAACCAAGGAAGACACTGCAACTAGGTGCTAAGGAGCATGGCTACTGCAAGTTTCATGTCCCCACCAAGGGACTGGAGGCTTTACAAGAGAGTCCTACACTGACATGGGTTGGCTCTGTCTGGCCTCACAGTGTTCTCTACCATGTTGTGACACAGTCAGGTGACTCTTCCTACACAGTAGCAGATGCTGGCCACATGCTCCTGGATGTCTCAGGCTCCAGAGGCCAGAGTCAGATAAACTCATGGTGTTTGTAAGTTTGCCCACTGTATCACATCCATAGCCAGTTATTGCAACGAATACGAAAGTCTTCATTTAAAAAAAGCCAATGAGCCGGGCGGTGGTGGCGCACGCCTTTAATCCCAGCACTCGGGAGGCAGAGCCAGGCGGATCTCTGTGAGTTCGAGGCCAGCCTGGTCTCCAAAGCGAGTTCCAGGAAAGGCGCAAAGCTACACAGAGAAACCCTGTCTCGAAAAACCAAAAAAAAAAAAAAAAAAAAAAAAAAAGCCAATGAGGTTTTGAGATATGGGGTCACCTTATAAATGAGCACCTTGGAAGAGAATACATCTGTGGCCTAAGGTGCTTAACTCAACTCCCACACTTTTTTCCCAGTGCTCCTGCCTCTTTGGCTTTTTGGTTTTGCTCTGTGGTGTTGCTTTGTGATAGCTAACTGAAAGTTTTGCAAACAAATACACACACTGCATATGCGTGTTCTTCATGGCTAACCTTTTCCTCAACAACTTTTAGACACCAGTCAAATGCATATATATATATGCATGCATTTCTGTCTGTCTGTATGCATGCATTTCTGTCTGTCTGTATGCATGTGTATCTATTCTAGAAGTAATTCAAGGAAAAGGCTTGTGAGTCTTGACTTAGAAACATTCATTTCAGAAACATTACACTTACCAAAATTCCCAAACTTGGGATTCGGCTGGTTTTCCCTCTGTACACTTCGTTCTGTTTAGCCTGTGTCCGAGACAGGAGAGCTGAATTTGTACAACTTGAGATTTTAGAATCGTTGGGCTTTTGCATTTGACTGTTCGCAAAATGTTTCAGCTCCTTTGAGGCCAGTAGGATCTGTTACCCCCAAGATGCTTCTCTAAGGGTGTTGAGATCCCTGCAGGCTGTCCAGCAGAACTCTGTGTGGGTTTGGACTGCACTGGTGTGCCTATGTGCAACGTGCCACAGTTGGGACTCGTAACCGTGTGAAAGGTGTGGACACATCTCTATGCTGGTCTCCCATGACTGTTTCTTACAAGGGTTGACTCTTTCCCCCAGAGTTACAAAAAACTCAGCCACTCAGTGAGATCTTGTTAAAGATCTTACTTCCTGGAAGCTTCAGTAACCTTATATCTACACGTTATAGACAGATCCTGCCAGAGTCTTCCTCAGACCTGCTTCTGAAGGACTTCTTCATGGGCCTACCAATTCCAGACCTTTGACTTAATTGCTGTCAGAATTTTCCAAACTCTGATTTCAACCATTCCAATAGAACAAAGATAGCATGATCACCACTCCCCAAGACGACACAATGCCAAGTGACACATGGTATTGTCCGAGAAAGAGCAAGGTGGCACATACCTCATCTATACGTTGGCTTGGGGTTTTCCACTGGAAATAACCACAAATGACAGTCACTGAAGCTTTGTTAGTTCAACACAAGCCCCAGTGATGAAGCACCTTTGGGGATTGATAACTTTTAAAAAGCTATTAAAAGACACACGAGGATTTTGCACAATACACAAAATACACAAAACTGGAGACATTTTTTTTTATAGCTAAACAATTTTATTGGCCTTTTGTGAAATAAAAAACATGAAACCACCATGGTTAAAGGCTAATCAGTCAACCAAATGAACCGGCCACTTGGTTCCAGCAGCTGTGAAGAACATGAGTGGGTATTATTGCTTATGCCCCATGTTCATGTATGTGTCTGTTATGTTTTGGCAAAAGTACAATCAGATGGAGCTTTGGTTGTTAAATTCAACTAGCACTACTCACTGAAAACACAACCTCTAAGATCTGAAGGTGGCTATATGCGTTTCTCCCCGAGTCCTGACATATATCCTCCCATTCCTACCTACTCTCTCTGTCCACTAGTTATTCGCCCTATTAACAAAGTAAAGGGGGAAGGCTTTATCAGCCTCCCTCTTCTGCTGCTCCCTCTCTGCCAAGAGAGGGTGGTGCATTCCTGGGTCTTTCTAAGTTCTTGTATCTGGTATGTGGTCATGCCAGAAACAAATGCCTGCCTGTGCTCTACACCGATTTTCAAATGCATATGGCATTTGGAGTTTGAACTCAACTGTCTCCTTTTCGTCTCCAGAAAAAAAAACTAGAAAACAAAAACAAACAAACAAACAAAAAAATCAATAGCCCTTAGCATCAGTAAGGTGACCTCCCAACAGGATGAGCCCCAGTGTCCAGCACACAGCATCCCAAGGCAGCTGTGGCGCTATGACTCTCTAATGGGGTGTGTGTGTGTGTGTGTGTGTGTGTGTGTGTGTGTGTGTGTGTGTGTACACGCATGTGAGTGAATGTGTGCACTGTAACATTTTAATCTGCCGAGGGGCAATGATGTTGATGCCTCTTGAGAGCTCCCCTGCTCTCCACGTTCTGTACTAACACTGAACTTCCCAAAGGACACGGGGTCAGAACTACCTACCACACAATAGCACCATTTCCTAGGCTCTTGGGATTTGGCTCCTTTCACTGCTGGAGAAAGCAGGCCCCGGCCTCCAGCTTTGTGCTTTCACAGGCTCCGTGGGACTGCTGTAGAAGCAGGTGGTCTGCCTTGGCCTACTTTAGTGGTGACCTGAATTTTCCCTGGGAAGAGTTAAAAAAAAATCCGTGTCTTTACAAAGTGAAGTTGGCCACGGGTGTGAGGGCCGAGGTGCCAGACCTGTAGACAGTGGGACGAGTCTTTTCCCCTTCGCTTATCTCTGTTCAGGTTACCAAAGGGTTTGCCAGTAGAAGCCCAGCAAAATCACAGGACACTGAGAGCCACCAACCCTGACACAGTCATCCAGCAGCAGCACTTGAACTCTGTCGTAGGTACCCAGGTCTGCCAGCCAATCTTGCCCCTGATAGCACTGGAATTTAATAAGCCCTTCTAATGACTAGGAGGATTATCCTCTTGAATCTAGACAACTTAAACAGTAGGATGTTTGCCCTCACCATAGTTTATATGGCACAGATAACCATATAATTACTAGCACTTAAATAGAAAAATCTTGTAAATAGGTAATTATACCAATGTTGTTCATCAGAACAAAGATTAGGCGCTTCCAGCTTGTACTCTGGGGGGATTTCAGCCCAACCCTTTGCCTCACAACAAAAAGATAACTCTGTAATTATGAGTAATGCTCTGCGGTGGTCACGTGGGGCCGAGAGACTCACGGGGCAACTTCGCGGTCAATGCGTGGCCTATGAAATTAAAGTAATACACAGTATTGTCATTTCAACGAAATACAAGAGACCATATAAAAATACTTTCCAATCCGGAATCTGAAACGTGAAAGCTGGATTTGTTTGTCTTTGTATAAAAAAGGAATAAAATAATGGACTAAAGTGTATTAAGCTTCCTAACCAAAACCCAAAAAAACCCAAAAAAACCAAAAACCGGTATGGGTTGAAGGAATGCGGTGAGCCAGTCAGCTTCCTTTTATGTCCAGGCTCAAGGATGTCGAGCTTGTGCTTTGATCCTGATGGAGATAAATGCACACAAGTGGAGAAGCCAGTGCCCCAAACCCTAACCGCGCCGATGGCTAAGGAGACTGGTTTCTACGGTAGGTAGAGCCGTCAACAGTGGAGGTGGCCGAGAGGATGACTGTCCCCCTCTCTCCTCTTCAGGCGACAGCTGGGGACGAGTGCCAGAAACACCACTTTCTCCTCGAATAGTGCTTCTTCAGCGCCAGGTCCTCCTTCTCTCGCTCCCTCTTCACACGCTGGTAGTGGTCTTCCTCCTTCAGGTACCACACGGGGGGCCAGCGGTGCCGCTCAAAGTACTCTTGGTTTTCTGGGTGGAGGGGGGGGGAGAGGGAAGATATTGTCTGTGATTCCTGCTGCCCCCTGACTGTCCTGGATGCTGAGTCCCTGTCCCATGCTCCTCATAAACCTCCCCACACCTTGACATGGCAGGAGCTATGAGCAGGGCTGTCTGCGGATGGTGATGTTAAAGTCTGAGATGTAAAATCCGGGCTAGAAATAGAGACCCTGAACCTCTTGACTTTCTCCAGAGTTTGCAGCTTGGCCCTGGTTGTCCATCCGTAAATGATGGGAGGCCAACTGCTGACTGCCTCGGCCTGCTGTGCAATGGGCCCCCTGAATTCCAGTCCCTCCTCCATTCTCCAAGGGAGACGTTCTGCAAAGAGAGCCCCCAAACTATGATTCTTTGGGTCATGTCACTTGCATGTGTGACCTACCACACACTCAAGAGGGACTGACCACACAGTGCCCACCATGTCTGGTCCCTCCCAAGGCTTTGGAAAGGGTAAGGGCTGGACGGCGGCGGGAAGCTCGCATGCACACTCCCGACTCTTACCTGCTGACTTGGATTTGATTTCCTTGCGGAACTTGGAACAGACACTGTTGTAGTTGGTGCAGATGTGGTGTAAACACCAGGCGGCTAGCTGGTTGGCGTTGTGAAACTGCAGGAAAGAGACCAAAGTGGGGGTCAGGCTCTGCTGAAGCAAGGCAATGGCATGGCTCAGCAGGCAAAGGGGCTTGCTGCCAAGCCTGATGGCTGAGTTCGATCTCCAGGACTCCATGGAGGAAGGAGAGGCATGACCCTGGCAATTCCTCTGACCTTCACAGGCATGCAGTGGCACACACACACACACACACACACACACACACACACACACACACACTAAATGTTACAAACATTTAAAGCAAGTCTACAAAGAAATGAGAACTATTGTGAGGGTGGGGAGGAAGGGAAGAGAAATAAAAAAGCCTGTAGAAGAACTAATACAAGAAAGCTCTTGCTTCGACCTCAGGGTTCTGACTTTGACCGTGGCTCTGATGTCAGCCAAGTACAGTGTTCATGTACCTTCCCTCATTGCCGGCTGAGATAGATGGTCCCCAAAATAAACACCATATCACAGTGAGAGTTTAAAGTATGCCCGGCTGTCCTGCCCGGCCTGCCCCTTGGCCCTCTGGTGATAGGTGACCATGCATGCCCTCTGGAAGGTACCAGACAGCACGATGCCATTTCTGTTTAGGGAGCCTTAGCAATGGAATACTCTGTGTCACATGTCAGAGCTCAGCGTGCTGGGGCCAAAGATCGAAAGGCAAGAAGAAAGACAGCGTGCCACAGCTGTCTTGTACCTGCCCTCTGGTTACGTAAGAGCAGGCGTGTGGGGTGTGGGTGAGGTGGGAGGATCCGTATGCTCCATCAAGCTTTTCTGAGCAGCTGCCTGGGGAGGTGGCCGCTGAGGTCGAAGTGATGGCCTGATGTCCCCAAACCAGATGGTCCACTCCCCCAGGTCTCCTCTGACCTGGCAGGGCACCCTTGCCCTTCTTTACTCATCCTGTGTATTTCTTTGGCTAACGGGGAACCTGGGAATGACAGCGTGGTTCTTCTGAGGCTTGGCTCTTCATCCTTTAAAAGCCACTCCAGGGAGGCAAGAACCCACCACCCCAACCATGGAGGTGGTTGGAGGCTGGTTCTTCAAGCTTTTTCTTCATGTTCAGTTTAACTGTGAACATAAATTTGGTGCAGTGGGGTACTGGGGGGTGCAGTTCACCAGTTCAGGGAACTGGCTGCATGACTTGTTCCCTCCGATTTGAGTTCAGTGACTCAGTCTTGGTGTCCACAGTGGGAGAATTTACACCATGGAAATTAGCAAGGGCAACAGATCAGGGTTCCATTATGTGTGAAACCCTCTTTGAGTTGAAGGCTAACACATGGGCTATGATACAGACATCATGCTAACTTCCTGCCAGGGTCTGTCAGGGTTTAGTAGTAATCATACCACAGCCTGTCACCAGTGTGTAGGAAGACAGGGAGGAGCCGGGAGGGAAGACAGAAAAAAGTCGCATCTTTAGTTCCAGTGAATTGTCCAGTAGGGCATTCTGAGTCATTTCAATTTCTTCTATGCAGGATACTTATGGACAGAGTCCAGTTATAAATTATCCCTCAAACTAGGGGAGCAGGTGTCTCCAAAGACCTCCAGTTTCAAATTTTGGACAACTAGTTCTGACGAGGCCTTGGAGCTTCAACCATGCATCCACCCTCAGCTTTCGGTCTCCATCCAGTGGGTTTTCAGGTTGGGTTTTAGGATCTGTGCTCCCACTTCCCTGTGACTGTGGGAAATCTGCTGCCTGGATATACTTGAGGGTCGTGCCTGGGACTTGGGAATCACACAATCAATACTTGTCAAGTCAGAGGGAATTGGCTGTTCCAGCTCCCAGCCTACCTTCTCCCAGTGACCCGAGCCATCACCTATGGCCACACTTGGCTGGGCTCAGCAACACCTGCTATAGTCCTGCTACCTCTTCCTGAGGCCACCTCCTCTCCTGTCATTGGGCAATGTCCACTTACATGGCCTGACCTAAGATTGAGTTCGCACTGTCCTTACTGAGAGAGAACAAAGGGAGCCCGACTCCTCAGGCAGAAGGAAAAAAAAAGTGAGTTCAGAACTTATTTCTCATTCCCTGCCCCCAGAGTGTAAACTGCTGTTGATAAGTCCATGCTGGGACTAAGTCATTCTGCCTACATACTCTGTGGTGTAAGAGAACTGCCATTTTCAGGGCTTTTTCTTGAACATTCTTTCTCCCTTGATTCTCAGTCTGTAAGGTTGTGAGGTCAAGGATTGCCATCCTCGTGTCTTACGGATGAGGAAGCCAAGACAGAATTTATCTTTGTGCCTAAACCTTTAGTTGGATTTACCCTTCTCTGGAAGAGGGGTGTGTGTGTGTGTGTGTGTGTGTGTGTGTGTGTGTGTGTGTGTGTGTGTGTATCAACATACATGAATGAATGTTTGTGTAGGGATCGTGGACACCGATAACGACAAACTGATCTTAGAAAATTCCAGGGGACCTTCAGCAAACTGTTCATTTACAGGGGGGCTTACAATGCTTTTTAGAATATTCTAAAAACTGTTCTTGGCCAAATCCTTGTCCAAGAACTCAAAGAAGGAAGAGAGGCAACATTTCCCCCTAAGCCAGTGAGTGGTCCTCTTACACATGAAACCACTGCCTCTGGAGGGTGAGGATGGTATGGGGGAAGGGGTCCTTGTTCTTTCAAAGGCAGCCTGGCAGGTGGAAAGCTGACTGAAATGTAAAACTCTCTGATTTTTTTTTTCAGCATGAAGGCACACCTCTGTCACATCTGTATTTGGACAGATGGGACTTTTTATCAGTGTTAAAGTGGGCTTGTGGGATACATACCAGGGATGGAAGGTAAGGGCCCACAAACCTACCTGTGCCAGTTCCAAGTAAGAGAGCACTTCACCATCGATGCCCACTCCACTCACAGCAGCCTTGGTGAGCTCCTGGACAGCATGCTGCTCTGTGAAAGAGATGACAGGAAAGGGTTAAACTGCCCACCCCAAGCCAGACACCTGGCCTGGAGGAGCTGGTTTGGGCCACTTGAGAAAAGAGGAGATAGTAGGCACAGTTCTGGGAAGACATTGGAAATGAACCCTGAGCTGATTCTACTGGGTGGCCTATCCGTATCCAACCAAGGCACCCATGTCTCCAGGACCTCTGGTCTATGCTTCTAGAATCGTTAGAATTCTCCAGATCGTCATGACCCCACCTAGGATGATAAATACCGACTATATGTGACTATTTAAACTCAGATAATTCATACTTAGCTCCTTATTAAGCTAAGTAGCCCTGTTAAAAGCTCAAGAGCCATACATGCCTACCCCCTTGGAATGTGCAGACGGAGGACACATCCATTGCTGGCAGATGGTTCTACTGGACAGTGTGGTTCTGGGAAGTCTAGCATGTTTATAGGCTACCTCTAACTCCGGACACAGTCCTGTTTGTGTATGTCTTCAAGGCTTGTTACCTTTTGCCAGCAAAGACTGGACGACAGAGGAATGAGTCTACTTGGGGAATTGAAAACCGAGGATGGAGCGGAGCTGGCAGAGCGCTTGCCTAGCAGGCCTGAAGACTTGGGTTTGAGCCCCAGCACCGCATACATCAGCTGTGGTGGTCCACACCTGTAATCCCAACACTTGTGAAGTGGAGGCAGGAGAATCAGAAGTTCAAGGTTGTCCTCAGCTACACCCTGAGTCTGAGGTCAGCCTGGGCTACGTGAGACCTCAATGAACAAAATTAAGTGCGAATATATATGCATCATTCTCGACAATTACAGACAGATCAGCCGAAGTTCAATCTCTTGGAATATAAAGATGGCGAAGGCCAATGGTCCTAAGTAACAAAGCTCCAGTTCGAGAGAGCCATGTTTGCTTTAGGGCCTGCGCCCAGCTCCTTCCGTTAGAGTATAAATTGCGGTTCTGAGGCTGGGGTGACTGTTTCTTGCCTCTGCTTGGGCAGTTTCCAGTCCCAGGTTAACATGGGTGTGTGAAGTTTTCTAACTCTCTACGATGATAGCATCTGTGGGGTGCTGGGGTGACTCCCTGCACTGTAGGCTGACCACTCTTAGTTTGTGGATTCTCTCTACTTCGATTGTAGGTTTTGTTTTTATTTTTTAATGAATTCAAAGTCCGTGTTCATCCGGCCACAGGCCAGTTCACTGTTTTCCCAATTGTGTGTGCTTACTTTGTGCCTCTGCGCCCCATTCTGGCAATTCTTAAGCTATTTCAAACTTTTTAATTGTTATTAAATGCTGAAACATGATTGGTACTGGACACATGTAAGACAAGCGAGCTTAATAGATAAACATTTTGTGCTTCCTGACTGTCCCACTGGCAGGCTTACACTCCCCACTTAATCTGTCTCTTTTTAAGCCTTCCAATCCCTTGAGATATAACAACCTCAAAAACAAGCTTACCATGGCTTCTACAGGTTCAAGTGAGAGAAAGGAACCACCGCAAAGCTCTCATTTTAACCCCAAAGATAGAAATGATTAGGCTTAGTCAGGAAGGTGTGTCCAAAGCCAGGATAGCCCCAAAGCTAGCCCGCCAGTTGTGAATGCAAAGGTAAGCCCCTGAAGGAAATGGAGAGGGGCTTGCTGGTGGTCTGGATAGAAGAGCAACCCAGCAGCATCATCCCTCCAGCCACACCCACTCCAGAGCAAGGCCAACTCCAGCCACACCCACCCCAGGGCAAGGCCAACTCCAGCCACGCCCACCCCAGGGCAAGGCCCATTCCAGCCACGCCCACTCCAGAGCAAGGCTAACTCCCTTCAGTTCTACAGAGGCAGAGGCTGATTTGTGGGGTTTGAGGAAAGACCCTGTCACCAGAATAGATGAATGGAGGCAACACAGTAAGTGCTAATAAGGAGCTATAATAAGTCACTCAGAAGTTCCAGTTGAGGTCACGGATGAGGGCTCCCTACGTAAGAGACCCTCAGCATGAAAAGAACAGCCTTGTACTGAAGGCGACACCACCCGGGGCCTGCAGAGGTAGAGAGAACTCCCTGCTGGCTTCAAAGTATCAAAGGACAGCCCAGTCATCTTGTGAGGAGCTGAGGCAGCTGACTGCTAGGCTGAAGTGAATCTCTTTTCTTTGAGGCCTTCCCTGTTCTCCTAAGTTCCCTAAATGGAACAGCAAAGCTGGAGGGTAGAGCGTCTGGCCACAGAATGATATCCTAAGTATTGGAAGCCCACGTTCCTAGCTTCGATTTCTATTGCTGTGATAAAACACTCTGACCCGAAGCAGCTTAAGGAAGAGAGGGTTTATTTGGCTTACAATCCCAAATCACGCTCCATCTTTTCAGGGAAGTCAAGGAGAGCTCAAGCAACCCGTCACACTGCAGACTGTGGCAAAGACAATGGACTTTGAATATTGTCTATAAACTCTCTGGTAAACGGGTGACAGGGTTGCGGGGGTAGCTCAGTCAAAACCCTTGCTAGGCAAGTTTGAGAACCAGAGTTTGGGTCCTTAGAACCCTTGAAAGAGCCAGGCTTTACGGCAGCTGCCTATAATCTGATATGGGAGGCAGAGACAGAGCATCCCTGGAGCAAGATGGCCCGCTAGACTACTCAGAGCTGGTGAGACCCAGGTTCAGCAAGAGCTCCTGCCTCTAAAATGGAGACTGATCGATGGAGGTACCTGATGTCAACTTTGGGCCTCCACATACGTGAGCACACACATGGATGAGCACCCACATACAGGTGTGGCCACACACACATGCACACATGCAAGTGTACTGCATATACATACAAAAAAAACCCACAAAAGAACTGGTGGGGTTTAGGGGGATTGACCTCAGTTTTGAGAGAAATTCTACTGTGGGAAAAATCACCATTAAACAGAATCCCCACGCTACCACGTAGACGCCTATGAAGAGAGGGATCAGCCAATGAGCCAAATGTCACTGTCATTTGATCAGAAAAAGCTGCATCAGCTGTTGTGACCTTGAATCCCACCACTTTGATCAACCACATCCACCAGGACCCAGGCATGAAGATTGCATTATGGCTAGAGGCTGAGCGGGTGGGTTAGCTTTATTTTTATTTTTTAAAGCAATCTTTATTTATTTATTTTTTGGTTAAAGTTTCTCCACTGTCTAGAGGTAATGCTGTTTTAACCGACTGTAGCTTGCTGCCTATGTAATTTTAATAATTCACTGAGATACCAGGAATTTCATGCTACCGTGGCCTGGGGCTGACCCCTCACTGTCTGAGGTGTGCCTACCGTGTCTGGGCATGCCCGCCTCCTACCTGGCTCTGTGTTCTTGAGCCCACACACTTGTTTGCGCAAGCTGATGCTTTCTTTGATACGGCCCTACCTCAGCTGGACAGATTCACAGAACTACTTAGAGCTAAATTTCCCAGCAAAGTCATCTGGGTTCTCTAAGTAACAGCAGATGTGGATGGTTGATCATGACTGTCAACTCCGCAGGCTCTGGGAATCACCATGGAGACACACTCCCGGGTGTGTCTATAAGGGTGGTTTGGGGAAGGTCTGACCATGGTGGGAAGACCCCCCCCCCCCACCTGAGCATGGTGGTGCCATCCTCTGGGCTGAGTTCCCAGACCGAATGGAAATGAGGAAAATAGATCCCTACCATACAGTTCTGTTTCCGGGACGCAGATACAGTGTGACAGCTGTGACCCCTGCTGCCCGGCTGAGATGAACTGTGCCCTCGAGTCCTGGGCCACAGCAGACCCTTCCTTCCTTTAGGTTGTGTCGGTGTTTGTCACAGTGATGAGAAAAGTGACCAAAGCAGCGATATTTCTTTTTGAAATGTATTTAACACTGGTTTGTAAAGTGTTTCCAGTCTAGGAACAGAGCCTGAAAGATGCTGCGAAGACGGTCTAAACCAGTGGTCCTCAACCTTCCTGATGCTGTGGCCCTTGAATCCAGTTCCTCATGCTGTGCTGACCCCCAATCATAACGTTATTTTCGTGGCTACTTCAGAACCGGAATTTTGCTACTGTTATGAATCATAATGTAAATATATTTGGAGACGGAGGTTTGCCAAAGGGGTCTGGACCCACAGGTGGAGAACCACCAGTCCAAAGGCTTTGCTTAGACTCTGCACACCAAATACCGTAGGTGACTCAAGGAGCTGTGTTGGGAAGGTATGTGGATCAGTACCAGGAGGATTTCATAACATCATGCAGGAAGACGGGAGTGAGTTCCCACAGAAGCTTTCTTAGGGCCACTTAAAAAAAAATCTTGCATGTTGAAATCAACCCCATGTTATCAGTGTCCGACTTAATCCTTAAATAATAGCACTACTGTGCTGACACTGAACACAGACCAGATGCAACATATTTGGTTCCAAGTTACTTTTTGTCTATTTAAAAAAAAATCGAATTTATCTTCAAAGGACCTTTGCATAACCTGTGTGTGGTTACCTGGGATTGCAACTCACGTTTCTGAAAAGGGAATTCTCACCGCAACTTCCTGAAGTTAATGTATGAAAAGTAATATACTCATTTGGATCTATGACTTCAGTATATTGAGGAAAAGGTTTTTTTTTTTCCTATTTTGCTTGTTCGTTCATTTTGTTTTTGTTTTTTGTTTTTTCGAGACAAGCTTTCTCTGTGTAGCCCTGCTGTCCTAGAACTCGCTCTGTAGACCAAGCTAGCTAGCCTTGAATTCAAGTAGATCCGCCTGCCTCTGTCTCTTGAGTGCTGGGGCTAAAAGTGTGCTCCATCATCACACCTGGGTGCAAATTCTTCCTTTCAAATTGGGGAAGAAGCAAGAAGGAAAGAGACCCTTATTTCCAGGTAATTTGTGTGTAGGACGGCAGAGAAATATTGAAAGTCAGTGCCAGAAGGTATAGAAGATATTGAATGGGCTGGCCTCCTCTCTGCTCATTGACTTAGCTATTCAGTTTTTACTAAAAGCCTAGTGGGCACAGACAAGTCTCCCAGCGCATGAGGAAGACCAGTAAGTGACAGCGTGTCTCAACTTTCCCTAGAATCAAGAACCAAGCAAGTATAGGGAGACGCACCCAGCCTGCTGACCATCACCTCTGGGGAAGGAAGCATGAGGCTTAACATTTTCAAATAAGGCATTTTAAATGCATAGATATTCTACCCAGATCTGATCTAGTTCACACACTGAACAAATGGAGAAGTTACAGAAAAGACTTCTGAAGCTAAGCCAAATCTTTTTTTCCCCTCCTCCTGAAATGAACTTGACAATGTCAGAACATTTTCAGAAATAGCTTTAAGAAAAAGAGAAAGCCTGGTGGTGGCAGTGGTGGTGCATGCCTTTAATCCTAGCACTTGGGAGGCAGAGGCAGGTGGATCTCTGTGAGTTTGAGGCCAACCTGGTCTACAGAGCGAGTTCTAGGACAGCCAGAGCCACACAGAGAAACCCTGTCTCAGAGAAAAAAGAAAAGAAGAAAAGAAAAAAGAAAAAACTGATCAAAACCAAACACATAATGCTTTCTGTGTGCCAGCCAGTGTTCTAAGGACTTCATATATTTACCCAGTTAATCTTCACAGCTTGGTGGCAGCTAATGTACCCATTTTAAAGAGAGAGAAGGCTGAGATACAGAGCTCAAGTTACACAAAGGACAAGTCACCCTTGGGGGGAGCCAAGGGCCTAGGATGGGACCCTGGGGAAGCTGGCTTTGGATCCTCTATTCTCTGCCACTCTTGTAAATGTTCCTTCCTCAAAGGCTACACCTCTGCACAGGATGTGTCATGGAGTAATGCTGACCCACTGGCTTGATTTCAGAGTTTGTGGTCCACATCAGATTCAGCATGTACCTCCAAAGCCAGGTGCCCACGATTGTACATTTACACCTTCATTGCCTAACGGGACCTATCACAGGGGAGTTTACGAGATGCCCCTTGCCTCAAATTAGGCTGACTGACAGACGGGGCTGTCTTCTCCCACCCGCCCAGGACTGTTCTCTTTGGAGAGATGGACATTAGCGTCTGATCTTCATTAGCCTTCACATATTTTCTTGGAGTGTGCTTTTGACCAGCTATCAGACACCAAGTCACCAGCCTTACCTACGAGTGCAACCAAGTGTGGCAGGCAAAATCTGTTTGCCAAGGCAATTAACTCCAGGGGGTCCAGGTCCAAGGTGGGCGACAACTGCTTGGTGTAGAGGTATTCCAACACCGCCTGCATCGACATCTTGTTTATACTGGGGAGGTGCACCTGCAACAGTGTACAGAAGGCTCAGTGCTGCTGCGGGGACTGGGGACTGCCCACCTGCCAGCTAGGGGGCTTAGAAGCATCCCGACCACGTGACCCGACCCGAGGCACTGCTCTGAGGCTGTGCTGAGGGGGCCCTTCGGTATTTTACGGTTGTCAACCTAGCAGCTTGATGTGTAGGTGACAAAAGAGTGTTGCTACCTGACAGAGCCTGGTGTGAAGTCTCTTTATTTTTTTTTTTAAATGGCTATTTGGGCCTATAAATCAGACAAATGGGTCGTAAATGTGTTATGACATTACGGGCCCTCCCTGCCAAGAACCTGAAGAGACTCCATTGTGGAGAGAGAAATCTTCTGGCAATGTGACTCAGATGGGAAGCTGTTAGCCGGACTACAGACAGGAAAGAGTCCCTCTCCTGGGTGGCCAAACACAGGGTGGACGGCCACACTAGCTGCACAGTGCCGCACTGCATTCTGATGACCCTGAAGCATCTGCCAGCATTGTGTCTGTTCTTCAGTATTTTCTCCCACAATCACATGGACCAGAACTATAGATATAACACTAGGTTTCAGCAGATCTAGAGTAGCCAAAGGACTCCTGGCCTGGTACACCTAGAGACACAGTTTTGGTTGGGTGTGAGTGGGGCATTGACCCCCTGCGGACTGCCCACAGCCTCTGTCCCATGTGTCTGGAGCTATTGTGGTTTTTCGAGACAGGGTTTCTTTGTGTAGTTTTGGTGGCTGTTCTGGATCTCACTCTGTAGACCAGGCTGGCCCTCGAACTTACAGAGATCCACCTGGCTCTGCCTCCCAAGTACTGGGATCAAAGCCATGTACCACCACCACCACCACCACCACCACCACCACCACCACCACCACCACCACCACCACCACCGCCCGGCTGTGTTACACTTTCTAAGAGGTCAGGGAATGAACAGAGGCCTCAGTCCTGTATGGTGGAGGGGGCGGGAGGGGGACGGTGGGGGGAGTGCAGATCAGTGGGGATACACACTGTATTTCAGATCTTCACTAACTCCACCAGGTGGTTTGAATGAAAATGGCTCCTACAGGCTTATAAGGAATAGCACTATTAGGGGGGTATGGCCTTATTGGAGTAGGTGTGGCCTTATTGGATAAAGTGTGTCACTAGGGGTAGGCTTTGAGGTTTCGGAAGCTCAAGCCAGGCCTAACGGCTCACTTGCTCTTCCTGCTTCCTGCTGATAAAGATGGAGAACTCTCAGCCACCACTCCAGCACCTGCATGCCACCATACTTCCCGCCATGACAATAATGGACTAAACGTCTGAACTGTAAGCCACCCCCAGTTAAATGTTTGCCTTCAAAAGAAGTACCATGGTCATGGTGTTTCATCACAGCAATACAATAAAACTCTAAGATACTCCACAGGGTGGGGGACTGACATGGTACAGAATGGTACCCCTTGTTTTTCCGACTGGAATGTTACTTTAATAGAAGCACCTATGCGCAGCTTTCCACACACACCGTCTAATATCACTCTTACATCTGGCCTAGGAAGAAGAGACTATTAATTTTGCTATTTTGTGGACAAGGACGTAGCAGTCAAGGAGGCCAAGTTTCGTGTCCAAGGTTGTAGAGTTAGTTGGCCAGGACTGGGATTTAAACGCAGGGAGTGCAGTTCTGAAGTTCACGCCCTGCAATGCTGTGTAACCTGGAGTCTCCTTATGGCATGGCTTTGGGTTGCAGAATAGTAAAGCCCTGGATTGCACAAGTAGGTTCTGGGAACTAAGGTTCTAATTTGAAAGGATGAACCGTTGTAGACTTCTTAACTCTCACACTTAACAAAACAGAATATGGCATATAAAAATACATATATACATAATATATATGTACGTAAATATCTTTATGTAAGTATATATGTATTATGTATGGTTCCATCTCTCTGTACATACATGATTGCATCTGTGCTGTGGGATTAGTCACTTCATATATAAACACACATGAAGAGAGGATGCAGCAAAGGCACCTGCCCACACATGCCTGTATTTCCTTCATTGTCTATGTGGGCTCGTGGATGACCTTTCCAGAATAAAGCTATTGCCACTTTGGAAGTTATTCTCCTGGCAGTCACCGGCCACATCAGAGAAGGACTATCCTTCCAGGTAGAGTTGTTCCTCAACATGTCATGAGGAAGTCTCAGAAACAAGCTCCTAGAAATACTAAGCAGTTTATCCCCTGCTCTCAGACACAGGCATCGAACGAAAACCATGATGATTCCAGGAAATAAGCACCTGGGCTGTTACTACCGCCCATCATTCCAAGGCCCCAGGACAACCCCTGCGGTGACAGGATGTGAGGAGTCAAAACTGATATGATCATCTTAAAATAGCACCGAGCGAAGGCTGTCATTTACTGCTGCTGACACTTGCCCCTCTCCTGTCCCTTTGGTTTCCAGGACAGACTGTGACAACCCATGCTGGTTCATCTGTGATGTGCCAATGTTATAACGCTGCTCATCCCCTTCACCCAGCTATGTCACACAGCAATGACATATTTCAATGTACATCTAACCTTGGGCATACTTACGCATTTGCTTTCACACACATATATGTTTAAAGGCATATACATTTATACTACACCAATAACTAACTGACAGAAGCCACAGGCTCCTCTATGTGTGTAAACACACAGTGAGGTTTCATCTCTAGAATGGTGTTTGGATTCGTGGGAAATTTTAGGTATGTGGGAATTTTTAGGTACTTGAATGCTAGGGTGCCAGACTTCCATATTTAACCAAGTTTATAGTAAAAGCATCCGTGTTTTATAAGATGTTAAGAGCTATAATCATAGATGTCAGGATAGAGAGCATGTGCTATGGGGAATCTGCTCTTTCAGAAATGGAGGTGTGGTGCACTGTGTCCTGAGGGGACAGAGTAAGAGTGTGTGGGCTGGCCCAGAGGTATGCCAAGATGTGGCCCGGGGGGCACACCAAAAAGTACTGTGACCCTCAGTAAGTCACCCACTCTTTCTGACCCTCAGGTTCCTCATCTGTGACTCAGGAAGAATTCAGAATGCACACTAGAGTTACTCCTTCACCGAGACTGGGTTTCGAAACCTCTCAGGTTACCTTGGCTTGGTATGTTAAGAGAGCTTTCCAGGCTGTTCAGCAAAGACAAAATGGGCATTGGAAATACAGATGTGACTAGGGGCATCCTAAGTAGAAAGGAGTTGTTTCTGGAAACAGGAGACCAGAGTCCAGCGTCCTGAGAGCGCTCTGATGTGCATAATCACCAGAGACCAGCTGCTTCCCTTTCGTTAATACAACGTCAACACCTTTGAAGTGATGACTCATTTGGCCGGTCATCTTAGGGACCCCTTAGGGGTCATCAACAGAGGAGGAGAAACACAAAACACTTTCATAACATCTATTTCCTCCTCATTGCTGATTGCTTTTTATAAAACAAAACAAAATCCAAATCCTGTTTCTGTGATCTCCGCACTTAGAAGTAACCATCTAACAATGGGGAGATCTACTTACAGCCCTTGAAAATAACCCAAGTGCAGAGCCACAAGGGACAGAACACCATGTCTCCAACCTACTTACTCAAGCCAACTCCAGAAAACTGTGGAATGACCAAAGAGGAGGAGAATGCTCCCCCCAATCGATGCCCATATTCTTTAGTTGGTTTAACATTGTCATTGTGAAGACTAGCTCAGACCATTAGGTTTGTCGTTAGAGCCTGTCTCACACAGAGCGAGCACGTATTCTAGAGCTAGCCCACTCCTTACCATAACCTGCCAAACATTTGAAGTGAACTGCTTGCTGAGTACCTCAGTGGGAAAGAATGAGGCTTACTGCTACACTAAAAGTAACAAAGGAAAAAAGTAAAATGGAAATGTCTCCTTCTGTATTAAATGAAAAATTTAATCTAACATTCATGGCTCACTGTCCTCTTTTCTCGATACACATATATAAAGGTCCTCTCTGTACCCCCCCCCCAAATGGGCTGAATTTCAGGGGCTCAGTCAGAGTTCCCTAAGACAAAACAGACTTAAAAGATGACCGAGAAGGCCTGGAAAGATGGTGCAGTGGTCAAGAGCACTAGCTGCTCTTGCAGAGGTCTGGAGTTCGATTCCCCGCCCCCATGTGATGGCTGACACCAGTTATAAGTCCAGTTCCAGGGGATCTGACATCCTCTTCTGACCTCCTTGGGTACTGCACAGGGTAGACATCACACGCAGGCAAAACACCCATATACAAAAAATAAAAATAAATCTTAAAGTCAACAACTTTAAAAAGATGACCTAGAAAGGCTAATTCCTAAGAATAAGGGTGGAGCACAGCTCTTCCTAGAGGATTTTGTGACCATTTCCTAAGGCTCACTTCTATCTGTGCCCACTGCTACCTCCCTTAGATTCGAAGATGGTCTGGCAGCTTCTTTGTTTTGTTCTGTTTTTTTTTTTCAAGATGGGGTTTCTCTGTGTAGCCCTGGCCATCCTGGAACTTGCTCCTTAGACCAGGCTGGCCTTGAACTCAGAGAACCGCCTGCCTCTACCTCCTGAGTGCTGGGATTAAGGCCTGGTGGCTGGTAGTTTTTTTGTTTATTCTAGAGCTATTTACAGGACAAGTGTCCTTACTCCCAGTGAGAAAATTTAATGGGGGTTGACAACATTTGCTGGGTGTTACCTATGTATGCTCCAGGCACAGCACACACGCTTCCACTTGCCTACCCTCAGGAGAACCTTCGCCGTCATTCTCATCTAATAGATGAGGAAGCAGGTTTAGAGAAGGCTGGCCGCTGGCCCCAGGTCACAGTCACACTGAGATGCAAGTTCATGAACACCTCTTATGGTCTCTCTTAGGAACAGAGGAAAGGGACCGGAAGCGGAAATGTCAACAGCGGCCGGCGTTGCTAGGGCTCAAGGAATTTTGGTGACTCCGTTAGTGGTCGTTTTTTTTTTAATCCCCCAGTGGCTGCAGTCTCTGCCTGTGTTACTTTTAGCTTCAGTCCTGAGAGGGGAGGGCTGGGACCTAGGTTCCTTTCAGAACCCTGCTGAAGAGGTGGCCACTTCCAGTGGGTCAATCACTGTGTAAGGCACTGTTGCTCGGTTGCTCGCGCTCACACTTGTAAGTCAGGTGTGTGCTCACACGTGCTGCGCGCCGCTAGGTTTTGTTTTGGTTACCTCTGCTGCACATGTTAATCTGGAGAGATTAGAGGTCCCTTCTGTGAAGGGATAAAGGAGATTAGCATCCCTTGGGTCAGCGCTGACACTGTGTTGCTCTGTGCCTGGGGTCCTGACCTCGATCGTTAGGCTTCATTCGCATAAAGGCACCAACAGCAGGTGTGGTGGGCTAGAAAGATGAGGGGTGCACACCAGAAAATGCCAATCACTGGAGGTCAGATGTGGGGGGAGGGGGGCGCTACCCCAGTCTTTCTTGTAAGAGGGCAATACTACCATCAGCACCAGTGCCAGCCAGTCTGTGGTGGCTAGCATGGACTAAACGCTCAGGAATTACTGTATAAACACATCTCTCTCACACATCTCACAACTACATCTGGGTCATGATTGAGTGCTTTACCGAGGGAGACTCGGAGTGCAGAAGCCACTTGTTCCAGGCCATCCAGCCTGGGGGTGAAGGGTTATGTTTTGGGTCACGGGGGGTGGGGGAGGGGGTGGGGGGCTTTTCTGTGCAGCTCTCATGTACTGAGATGCCTTCCTTTAAATGTCTCATACCTTTGAGCGCACAGGAGGGAGGTTTAGCCAATCAGAGGACTTCCTGGTTTCCTAAGGATGCCGGCAGAGGCTGCTGGGGTAACTCTTCTGGAAGCCTTCCCCTCGAAAGGCAGGGCTCGTTTCTGGGGTTGGATTTCGCAGCAGCCCCTGTGCTGTTTTTCTGGGAGCAGGAGGATGGCCCAATGACCTTCTCAGCCCCAGCCATTCCTGGCTTGTGATTCTAGGATTCTCTTTCCCTGCTTGGAGATGCAAATGCAAGGCCCCTGGGGCACCGTGGGAGTGTTCCCACTGCACCCCTGGGAGAACCCCTTTTGAAAAGTCAGCCTTTGTTTTTAGTATTTCTTTTGAAAGTTGGGAGAGATGCTGAGATAAGCAAGGCTAGCCCCTAAGGACAATAAACTTGATGGGGTGTCCCCGTGTTGTGTTTTTTTTTTTTTTTAGAAAAAAAAAAAGATGTTAAGGACTATTGCAAGACTCAACAGAAGTGCTGGCTCCACCTACACTTGGTTAGAAACGCTTGCATGGATTTTCTTTTCTTTCTTTCTTTCTTTCTTTCTTTCTTTCTTTCTTTCTTTCTTTCTTTCTTTCTTTCTTTCTTTCTTTCTTTCTTTTTCCAGCAGTGTTCGTATGAAGATAAAGACAGTGTCTTCCAGATACTGCTTGAGACATTCTAAAGGTCTTTCTTTGGGAGGGTAGGGCCCATCTGCTTCTGCTGGACCCACACACTTTGAAAAGTGGGTCCAGGGCAGTGAACACTCAACCAACTCTCATTTCCTTATACAAAAGAAACACTCCTAGCCCCCCTGCCCCCTGCACCCCCACTCCCCACCCCGGCAATGTGGAAAAATTGGGGCTGAGCCGCCAATGCTGTGGCTCACAGCTGGACCTCAGGGATCACTAGGGACATTCATCAGGTTGCAGGTGACATGCCCGAGGCACAGCAACTGGGTTGGGCAAGGTTTCCTGTCTGGCTAAGGACAGTGCTGGTCCTCCATTGACTGAGGATCTTTTTACTCCCCCAGACTTCTAGAGGACGGGCTCTTGTACTTGATTTTGATACTACCCTGCCTGTCTTGTTGATGTTTGTTAGAAAGTATGGCCAGTCATGACTCTTTAGTGGAAGAAAGGTGTGTGAGTGCATCCTAAGCACCTTGTGTTCTCACACTAGTGATCAACAAACAGCCTATAGACACAGCAAGGTGTCTTCACACTATGACTTCACACTAAACCACAGCCTGAGCAACTACTTCTTGGAAGCTGTTCAAGGGGAGTTGTCTGGCTACTTAAACATTCCGGGCTTCCAAGGCACTTACCTCACTGTTGGCGCTTTCCACAAAGGACCCCCCGAACATGGCGGCCATCCACTCACAGCTACAGATCAGCAGTGGTTTGTGGGCACTGATGGCTCCATCATCCAAGGTAAATGTCACATCTGCCAAGGACGGAGGAAACAAAAGGGTGAGCCAGTTTTCCCAGGGGTTTCACCCCCAGCCTTCTGCTCCATATACATTCATCAAGCTGTATCTCTCACTCCCTCTTCCAGGTTTACTGATTCTACTTCAATCCATACTTCCGACACATCCAGCTCCCACAGCAAAGAGTGTACCTTGAAAAATTGCATGCAGGATCACAACACAAATTCTCAGGGCCAGAAAGTAGTAGAAAGGAGAGGATTATCATTTTGTGCTTTAGATTTGGGGTTTATACAGTGTTTGACACATTTACACATACGTATGTCTCATAGACACCTTGTATACATAGCCTGTAAGTAATTTCAATCAACATAAGACGTAGTTCATTGTTTAATTTACTGTGCATTTGTAAGATGACCTTTTAAATTAACATTCACAATTACTTCTGTATCCCTGTGCCCAGGGACTGGGATAAATGTTTTTACTTTATTCCACAGGGTGACACTCAAAAAGTTGGAATTTGGAGCATTTGGGGTCTTGGATTTTCAGGCACTAGGGATAGATGTTCAGCATATACAAGACTTGTCTGTCTATCTCTTGTTACTGTTTGGCTGCATGTGCCCTAGTTACACTCCCCCTACACACACACACACACACACACACACACGTGTGTGTGTGTGTGTGTGTGTGTGTGTGTGAACTGAAGGTAACACTTCATTCCCAATTTCTTTATCAGGAAATTCCTAAAAACAGCCACAACTTAAAAGAACTGCACCATGATTGAGTATAGCTAAGAAAATAGAACATTGTACTGATGCTATCCATTATCTAGCTCAGATGTCTCAGTCACCCCTGAGTGACATGCCAGGGTCTCCCTTTCATAAAGGAGTCCTACGTGGACCTCCATTCTTGCTTGGCTCTATCTGGGCAGTCTTAGCGAGGGATTCAGTCAGATTTAATGTCTCCCAGTTAATCGAGTACATATTTGCAACACATTCTTTTCAGTAACACTCAAGAGCTGCTTCCACACCATGGCAACCAATGTTTTGCAGTAAATGTTCCCCACTCCTTGCTTTAAAATGAATAGCGTGACTCAGTATCAGGTCACGGAATGTGTAGTTCCATGGCAGGGATTATGGGAGACAAAGACGAAAACCGAGGGAGCCCAGTCAACCGAACTCAGGAAGTCAACATTGCAGAAAAGTCCACTTCCACCCACACCCGCACACACATCCCAAGATGAAAATTCTAGAATAAAAATAGTACACATGTATCAGACAGACAGAGCCAAGCAAAGGCCAGTAAATCAGACCGGGTGTAGTCTCTAGGGAGTTTGCTCATGGCAGGGCACCAATGGCTGTGTGTGGCATAGTTGCCCGAGATGAAAGAAGACAGAGCAGGGCTCAGGAGTGCAAGGGCACAAATCAGGCGGCTGGGGTGTGGCAGTGGTTGTTGTTGTTGCTGATGTTGTTGTTGTTGGTGGTGGTGGTGGTGATGGTGATGGTAGTGGTAATGTAACTTGTCTCTGGGACTTCAGTGACCTCAGGACCAGAGACCAATGATGCAGGGACAATGGAGAAGAATGGAACAGTGGACATTGGTCATGGAACAGATCCCGAAGCCAGGTAGTTTGAGCTTCAAGCCCCTGGAGGGAGGCGTAGGATCACCTAATCGACCCTGTGCCCTGGAGATTGAGTGACTAGGTTTCTGGAGTGGCAAGGCTTGAGTTCATGATCTCACTATCACCACTTAACTGACTTAGTGACCTGGCCTCTCAGTCCCTTGTTTCTCAACATCTGCAAGGTAGGAGGACTACCTCTTGGGTCTGACAAGGATTAGCAACGATAATCCTATTATCTTTATTTGTGCTCCCGCTCAGTTTAGCTAGCATTTGATGATTCTCCCACCCCCTACCTAGCACAAAGGCCTTGCTTGATGGCTCCCTGGGGGCCCTGCTCACCTGAGAAGGTGCCCTTGCTGAGACACTCTTTGATCCGATTGGCTTTCCTGACATGGAAGGCTTTTGTGATCTCCTGGTTCATAAAGGCTTCCTTGTTCATGATATTCTCCACCATCATCCTCAGATCGAACATCTCCAGGACCTCGGCCATCTGAGCCAACCCCAGCAAATCTTTCTCCTTCTCATCCAGCTGCCCAGTGTAGAGGAATCGTAGCAGGGTCCGGAAAGGGCCTGACTGCATCGATGGGTCCAACCTGACAACGGTCACTGGGCCCACCCGCTTAGAAATGGGGTTGACCCGCACCTCTTTGTGTATGCTGACAAATCCCTTGCTCCAACCGGACAGGGCCTGTGCCTCAGAACCTGAGACCTCGGTCTGCAAAGCTAGACTCTCTGGCAGGTCCTGGCCTGAAGATGCTCCTGGGCCAGCCTGAGGGGTCCTCTGGGGACTTTTCTTCCCTTCCTCGGCTGGACCAATACCCTGCATCCGCCCGTGACAATCCCTGCATGGCACCTCCTCACCAGCTCCCCCACCCCAACTGGGCGATTCTTCACACTCCATTAAAAAAAGGTCGTAGAATTTGGAAGAAGAGGTAGCGAGGTAAATGCGGTGCGCGAAGATGTACTCCTGGTCCTGGAGAATGAAGAGGACGTCAGCGCATAGAGGGTTGTCCAGTAAACAGGCAGCATCGCTTGTCCCCGTGGACGAACACTCGGGGACCTTGATGACGGGGGGAGGGGCTTTCGGAGGTAGGAAGGGCGCCTGAAGCAGAGGCTTCTGGACTTTTTTCAAGTGGGATTTCCAGAACTGCAGGTGCCGGCGGGAGATGAGGGCTGCGCGGATAGCATTGTCGAACACATCCTTGATGCCGAACTGGTCAAACACACTGGTCTCGTAGTAAGGGATGCCAAGTTCCTTCGCCACCTCTCGGCCTTTTTCTGGGGGCAAAATGTCACCTCTCTTTATGGGCCTGAAATAAGAAAATTAAAAAAAAATACACATAATCAACTTTCTTTTAAGGAAAAAAAAAAGAAAGGGTGTGGCATCTAAATTTCTAAATCCCTAAGTTGAATTATATAACTAAAACTTCATTCGCTTCTTAAATTTTTACATCTAAAATCCTGCAAGGGTCTTGAAAACTCATCATCAATGGACATTCCAAGATAAAGGATTTATGACTGTAAAAAAAAGCATATGCGGTTAGTAGTAACTATGGTAACAAAAGGATTGGCCTTTGTTACCTATGTGATCTTGAGCAAGTTGTCTAACCTCTTTAAGGCTTGGTTTTCCAACTTTGGAGCGCATGGGCCCCTTAAAGAAGAGGTTTGAATATGATAATGAATACATTTAGCATTGTCCTTGGTGCTTGATAAAAGTTATCACTGCCAATGGCCACCTTCATCGTTGCTTGTTTCATTTTTATAACTTCATCATGCACCCCGCCCCCCTGCACTATCTGAGAGTTCTATGGAGTACTGTTTTCATTCTGTAGTGAGAAGAAACAGAGGCAGGAAGTTCAATTGGTTTGCCTACGGAATATCTATAAGCTACTAGAAATTTCTACTAAGTGGTTAGTGTACAGACTTCCCCACTCTTGGTTCAGTGATCCATGCCCAGTGGCTTCTAAAGTCTCTATGTTGGATTCATGAGTCCTCTTTCATATATTCCTCCCCTCCATTTCCATCAGGCCTTCATCGATCTTTTCTTTAGACTGGTACATAAGTCTCTTAGTTGGCCTTTGTGGTACTTTGAATGTAATTGGCCCCCATAATCTCATAGGGAGTGGCACTATTAGGAGGTGTGGCTTTGTTGGAGTGGGTATGGCCTTGTTGGAGGATGTGTGTCACTGTGGGGGTGGGCTCAGGACATTGTCTGGCACAAGCCAAGATGTAGCTGGCACCATGTGGATCTGTCTGCGCGCCGCCATGCTCCCTGCCATGATGATAATAGACCGAACCTCTGAAACTGTAACCGAGCCACCACAATTAAATGTTTTCTTTATCAGAGTTGCTGTGGTCATGGTGTCTCTTCACAGCCGTAGAAACCCTAACTAAGACAGCCTCTCTTCAGAATCCGCATTTATAGCTCAGAGTCCCACCCCTGCAAGAAAAGTACTAAAATAATAGCAAGGGTATGGCTGAGCCTGCAATTCTGTGTTAATTTCTCCTGTTTCCACAAACCCAGTGGAACAAAGCCCACGCCCTTTTGGTCTGGCACACAAAACTCATTTACAAGTTAATCAGACCCAGGAAGGCCAATATAAGCACTGCGGTGCTGGGCTTGTGACATAACCTGGAAAAGGTTCCAGAACCGACAAGATGTGATCTGCTACAGTTCTCTAAGAAACGCACGCTCGATTCTGACAGACGCTCTGAAGCAACTGATCCGAAATACTTCGCCTTTGACACCAAAAGTCACACGCTTCCCAGGCCCTGGTCCAGGAGACCAATGATAAAAGTGGATGGAATTTGGATTTGAAGACCAGGGGGGAGGGAGGGAGGTCACACCTCAGAGTGCTGACAAGAGTGGAGAGATCCAGGGAAGAAGGAAGGTTCAACTTTAGGCCTCTTCCTGTGGGCCCTGTGTGAACTTTGTCCTCGGGGCTGACTCGAAATTTGCTAATTGATTAACCCGAAGCTTGGCTCCAATGCCCCACTTTGTGAAATCTCTAAGTCGCTCCCTATAAAGGACTGTCCTGTCTGCTACTTGGCCGGTTCTGCTACCCTCTGCAGTCACCCCCACACCCAGGTGATTCTGAACATTCCATTTCTAGTCCATGCATGTAGGAACAGAGGGATTGTGGAGACTGAACATGAAGTGCTTTCCAAGTTTTACCCAGGATGCCTTTGGAGCACCAGAAATCGTCTGAAAGTGTCTCAAAGGTCGTCACTGCAATAAGCATAAAAAATGGGGTCCAGAGAAGGTTTGTGGTCAGCCAACTGGGTAAATACGGAAGCAAAGCATTGCTATCAGAATTTGGTGGGAGTTTTGCCCTTCAGCAGAGAATATGGGTGTGAAACAGACAAAACTGTTTTATACAAGAGTAACTTCTGAGGGCACAGGTTTTAAGAATTCTGTTTCTTTCCAAAATTGGTATCCATACTGTGGACGCAGTAAAAAAACACCTTCTAATTTGTTTTATTTTAAACTCTGACACTTTGTTAACATAAGGATTAGATACATTTAAAAAGTCATGTTTGCTTTCTTTCCCTTTTTTTTTTTGAGACAGGGTTTCTCTGTCTTGGATCTTGCTCTGTAGACCAGGTTGGCCTCGAACTCACAGAGATCTGCCTGGTTCTGCCTCCCAAGTGCTAGGATTAAAAGTGTGCTCCACCACCGCCTGGCTTTTGCTTTCCTTTTTAAAAATTTATTTACTTATTTATTTTATGTATTCGCGTGCTCTATCTGCATGTACAAATTTGTGCCAGAAGAGGGCACCAGATCTCATTATAGATGGTTGTGAGCCACCATGTGGTTGCTGGGAATTGAACTCAGACCTCTGGAAGAGCAGCCAGTGCTCTTAACTGCTGAGCCATCTCTCCACTCCTTGTGTTTGCTTTTCTGCAAGTAGAGCTCCATGTGATTTTTAGGGGTTTGCTTTTATTTTCTTTTTGAGGCGGGATCTCACTGTGCAGCTCTGTGGATCAAGTTGGCCTCAAACTCATGGAGATCCACCTGCCTCTGCTTCTCAAGTACTGGGATCACAAAACGAGTGTTGTTAGGCTCAGCTTCACATGATTTAAAAAAAACTGGACACCAGCCCAGGCCTAGTGGTATGGGCCTGTAGTCTCAGCAGCTCAGGATGCCGAGGAAGGAAGATCACAAGTTCAAACCCAGGCTATGCTACAGAGTAAGCTAAGAAATGTAGTGAGACCCTACCCGGCTCTAAGTTAAAAGTTAAAAGAGGAATGGGGCCATGATTCAATGGTAGAATGTCTGGTCTGCCTAGAATGTGGAAGGCCTTAGGCTCACTCTCCAATACTGCACGGAACACCAGAAGCCAGAGAAACACTAACACCACCACCAAAACCAACCTAGACGTGTGGTCATGGGAATGAAAGCACATCTCTGTTGGGATGTGATAATGGCCAACAGCTGTGGCTGATCCTTCTGAGCCTGAGTTTATTTTATTCTAAGCAGGCATCATTTCAAGAATGATGCCACCTTGGGTGGCTAACATTCTGTATAGGACGTCATTCAAATAGAGTACTTCCTCCAATGCACTTCCATACACCCCATTTCATACCGTGGAATTCCCTTGAAGCACTGGCGAACCATTTGATGAGACTGGAGTGTGACTCTGGTGAGCCTGGGGAGGCATCAGGACCTCAGCTTCAGGATGAACGGCTGACTGACTTTGCGAAAGTCGATGGCTGAGAGGTGTAGCCTCAGTGGCCACTGAACATCTGAGGTACCTGAAAACTATTTCCTCGCCGGGCGGCAGTGGTGCACGCCTTTAATCCCAGCACTCGGGAGGCAGAGCCAGGCAGATCTCTGTGAGTTCGAGGCCAGCCTGGTCTACAGAGCGAGTTCCAGGACAAGCTCCAAAGCTACACAGAGAAACCCTGTCTCGAAAAAACCAAAACAAACAAACAAAAAACCAAAAAAACTATTTCCTCACTGGGGTGCCAGATGCATGCAGGGTCCTTGGCTTACCTTGCTAAGGGGCGTCTGGCCCGGTTAACGGCTTCCAGGTCAGCGTAGCGGAGGTCTAGCTGGCAGCCAACAAGGACAACAGGTGTTCGAGGGCAAAAGTGCTTGATTTCTTGATACCACATAGTCTTCACATGATTTAGGGAGTTGGGATTTGCGATTGAAAAACAGAGGACCACAACGTCAGACCTGAAAAGGAAACCGCAGACGGGGCTCACATCACCTTTCTGTGTGTCTCTCTAGCCATCCATTATGGTCCCTCTCTCTTCTCCCACTTATCTGACAATATGACGTCACAGTTAAAAATAATATTTTTTTTGTTTTGTTTTAAAAAGGGCCGGATAGTAAATACGTCTATGAGTCATGCACACAGTCCACTAAGCCCCCGCATTCCAGCCCCAACATAGCCTTGTGGCTCATTTTCACATCTCACTGCAGAATGTGGATGCGCTCAGGGTCCCCCCCTCCCTCGAAGTGACTTTCCCAAGAGATGGCTACCTGAAGGAGTTCAGTACTGGAATTCCCACATGCCGAACTATTTCTGCTCATGAGAAATAGTTGCAAGATAAAAGGAAACGATGAAGACCACCTTTTTATACCCCCTTCATAAAACACAAAGGCGAAGATGTCCAACCCAATGAGAAAGCAAACAGCTGGTGGAGATGTCAGCAGTATTTGCTGCGTGGCGTCAGCAAATACAAAGAAGGATGCTGGCCCTTCTTGCTCACGCACACAGATACAAAGCACAACCCCTTATCTGCTTCTGAACAGAGAGACCCTGACTTGGCAGGAATTTGCCTTTTTTTTTTTTTTTTAAAACTAGGTGTAAAGCAAGAAGATGAAGTCAATGGAGGGCTGATATGGTCAGAGAACATGGGAATCAGACCCCTCCCATGTTACAGCTGATACACAACAGGTACATGGGAAAAAGAAGGGGTAGGGGAAAAAAGCTTCTACTTAAATTTGGCATTGGGAGCTTCTATTTTTATAGTATAACTTACCATTCTAGAAGTCAAAGAATTGTTGAGTAAGACAGTTGCTCAAATATGGTACTTGATGGTAGCTGGCAAGCAGGAATAATAACCTCCCTTCTGGGTTAAAATACAAGTGACCGTTTTTAGAACAGGCAGGCAGGGGAGTGAGAGCAGGAACGTTTATGCTTGGGGAGTCGAGACTTGCAAACAAACTCAGCAATAAACTCACGACTTTATGAGATGTTAATTTATTGCCTTTATTGTTTATGTGATGGGAAGAGTCAAGTCTATGAATAAAAAAATAACTCTTCTTAAATCATTAATGAGCTTTCCTTCCTACATATCAATGGAGACAAACAAATGTATGCAGGCAGCCACAGAATTTCTAAAAATAGTCGCCTCTGATGCAGAGTACGGCAGGGGGCTTGCATTAAATGTAATTCTCAAGTTGAGTCTTTCCGTGTATTTGCAGGGGAAAAAAAAATTGCACCAGACCGCGGCAAACAGAGGGGAAAGTCCCGAGTTTAAGATGGTCTCACATTACAAAAGAAAACCCAGGACTCAAAGCAGGTAACTGTTGTTCTGCGTGGTTAGAATAATCTCAATGTAAAGATATTATCAAAGGCTCCAGGATGCTGGAATAATATGTAAATAATATGTGTAAAATATGCATAAATATATAAATGAAAAGGAGACATCTCTTGTCTTTGAGATTCTGATTTAGTTACTAGAATATTTTGTACTCAGCCGTACTTCCAATCAGCATAAATAACAGTATCCATTAAAGCCAAAAATGCTTCAAATATTACTTTTTTTGACCGGCTTAGTTTTCTATTATTCATCACCCTGTTTATATTGGGTATCTAATGAAGTCCTACTGTAAGCTTTGTTCTGATCATAAGATAAAGCCATCACAGAATTTTTGACATAGTGAGAATAATATGTCTGGTTCAGCATCTCAGACAATGAATTAAGCAAATATATCCATTTTTCAACTTGAGGACTACGTGTGTGTGTGTGTGTGTGTGTGTGTGTGTGTGTGTGTGTGTGTGTGCCTGTGTGTCTGTGTGTGCATGTAATACATATTATATATTTATTGTAATTGGTGCCTTCAGTTTCCATGTTAAGGCATACAGCTGTGAGGAGAATCATTCTAAGAACTTCATTTCTATGACAGACACATAACTAAATGTCAATTCTGCTATCTAATTTTATGATGTAGCAAAGTGAGGTTTTGAAATCAGAGCTGGCTTGGTTGCCAAGGTAACCGTGTTACCACTCATGACATGCAACACATGGGAGTTAACTATCCGGGTGACCTGCAAGCAAGCCCAGACAGGACCTGGGAGGGGCTGATGGTGGTGGACAGACAAATGGAATCTTCTGATAGCCACACAAGGCCACGACACAATGCAGGGCCAGAGTTATCAGTGTTCTGTCCTACCCTGTGGCTTTGGTGTCTAAATGCTTGAAATCTGTGGGGGAACTGGGAAAAGATCTGATATTCTGCAAATATGTTCGCTCAAAATGTAAGAGCAAGTTGAATTGAGAAAAACACTATTATAGATGTTAAAATAACCCACTGAATAAAAATTTTATGTGTATCTTAGAATAACATCTTTCTTTTGTTTTCTTATCTAGCTGCTAAGAGAAAACTATGCCCATTACTTTAGACTGAAATCAGTTAAAAGTAAGATTATATATTAACTATTAACTTGCTTTTGTTTAAACCATGTTGATCTAGACACAAACGTGGGAGAAACCTGGTGTGTGCTCTAAGCAGAATGTTATCCTCAGGTCTTGCCATCCAAAGGACAAATTCCAACACAGGCTAAGAGTCAATTGTCAAAGAGATGAGGCCATAGACAGAGATGCCTCCTTCCAAATGCCCTTGTCTAACTGGCAATATGTCAGCATCCTCTGTGGCCTAAACACTCCTTAAAATCAAGTAACTAAGACAGAAACAGAGGAGGAGTGGATTGGGGGTGGGTGAGAGGAGAGGAGGGAGAGGTAACTATGGTTGGGATGTAAAAATAAATGAATAAATCGAATTAATAATAAAAAAATAAAAACACAAATAATATTAACCACCTCACCATATTGTAAATTAAAAAAAAACAAACTAGAAAATAGCATATAAATATTTGACCATTTCAAAAAAAAAATCAAGTAACTATTTAGAGAATTCCGTTTATTCCTTCTGGACTCCAGCCTTTCCTTCTACCTAGTTCAAGAAAACAGGAGACTCTTGGCTAAGAATATCTCCAGGTTGGGGCAGGATTCCAAGGAGTTTAGAGATACACATTCTTGTGTGGGGCCTGTTCAGTGTCTGACATAAACCCGGATTTAAAAATGCCCCTCCTAGGGAAGATAAAAAGGAAAAAGCAGCTTCGAGAAGCTCTGTCTCCATGGCTCTGTTTCTGTTTTGTTTTGTTTTGTTTCATTTTGTAGAGTGGATTTAAAAATACTTGTGGAGAGTGTGAGGAGGACGTTTCGACAGACTTGGCAGTCAGGGTTGTCCAGAAGTGACCTCAGGCTCTATTTCAGCTGTAAAAAGAATGATAGGATTTCAGTGGAATTCTACAGCTACCTGGGGTAGAAAACCTGAGAATTCAGAGACCAAGCCCTGGGTGGACTGGGTTTTAAACCCCAGAATTTGGGTAGTGAGAAGGGTACAGGAGGAGATTTGGAATGCACATTGTATTGACTTTTATTCAAAAAATTATGACTGGGATAAATGGGCTTATTAGAGATAGCCAGAAACACACAGGGGGCTGAGAATGTATCCTTTTGTTCACTAACACATTGAATCATTGAATGCATTTTTTTAAAGGGAAAAATGATTTCTTGTTCTTAAGGGAGAAATATCAGTATATTTCACTTGGGTGCCATCATAAAAAAGTCATGTCCACAAAGTAATATATATTTTGATTGGTTAACAGCAAATTAGTCCGAAATCAATGGTAGAACAATTGGGCATGTCCAGCATCAGGAGAGAGGGGCAGGGGTGGAGAGGGGCCAAGTCATCCAAGACGGTAGGGGTTGAGGTCTGTTTTTCTTTGTATATTAAATAAACCCCAGAGGCATACTTCCTCAGTTATCTTTTGGGGGAAACACTGGCCAAAGACAGCACTTGAAGAATTGTTAGAGATGTTAGGGTAATGTGAAGTGTTCATTCCAGGCCAGGGCTAATCTTTGTTGGAACATTAAAGAAATCTGAGAAAGGCCGTCCTCCCCACATACCTTGTCTGGAGCCAGACTCAACAGCAAATAGCAGGGGTCTCAAAGGCTGTTTTTACAAGTCCAGGCCCTTGGTGGGAAGAGCCTGGAGAAGCTACCAGAGGCTGAAAGGCACTGATTGTTAGGAATGCAATTTCTAAACTGCTGGGCCCATCGGCCTTGTCACGGGTATCACGCTGAGAGGCCCGGGGGTGGGGGGTGGGTGGGGGGGAGGGGGCACTAGGTTTCTTTACCTTAGCTGGTTAAGTGAAGAAGAAACCCTGAAATCATCTTTTATCTAAAAAGCATCACACCAGACTGATTTGACAGGTAGTGCAAAGGAAAGCGTAGTCTACCTGGCCTCCAGAACGCAGAGAGTAGGGTGGCCACGTGCCCTTCTCCAGGGTGCTCAGCTCAGGGTGGATCTCATGCAAGACTAATATTTGAAGCTTAGAAGAAGCCTGTGTGATATTTTCCCACATTCTGTATGGGACTGCCTTCTTTTAATTACCCATATGTTCTTTTAAGAGTTTTGTTCTGTGTTCAGATCTTACCACATTATAAACCACCATTGCCTACACCTACTTTCACTTTTCTAGTGGTGTGGGCGGGAACCCCATGATCTTTATACAGGTGGGGGTCATAGTCACATCTGAACAGGCTTTCTTGGCCAATATACAGGAGTCCACCTCTAGCCGAGATTCAAGCAAGGAGTTCCTGACCTCCACCCGTGGGTCTTCGAGTTCCCTTTCCCGGCTGATTAACTGAGGTAAGTTCTTTCCTGAAATGTTTCGAAACCATTCACATCGACCACACACCTCTCATGCATTGTACTCTGACAGTGTTATGCAAACAGACACATTGAAACAGCACAGGACAGCTGGGAGCAGGGCAGAGGGTTGGAGCGGATGGCTCCAGGTTTTAGTAGGGGAGCAGCCTGGGTGTATGAGATGTAGAGGGAGTTGTCAGAGATGGTGCACACGACTGGGCTGGAGATGGATGGCTGGGGAAGCTCGAACTCATGGAGGATGGACAGGCCTGTTGGGGGGTGGGGGGTGGGGGCGCCTGGTTGGGAGTTCTGGGGGGAGCAGGGCAGAACCATGCAGGGCCCCGGATGTGAGCGGAGAAATCAAGCCAATACTTTACCAAGAGCAGTGAGGCTTCTTTAAGTACAGATGTTATGTGGGGGAAACTGTCAAAACATCCTGAAATATATCCAGATTTGGGAGTGATTAGCATGCGAGACTACAGTCTTCCAGGAAGACTTCTTGCAGTTTCACCAGGAAGTGACATGTTAGGACCCGGCTCCCTCCACCCAAACAGAAATCTGGCCAAAGCAAGCCACGCTCTTAGGAGTGGGCCGGTAGCAGCGGTAGCAGCAGCAGCGACAGCCCGCCAGTGTCGCCAGAGGCTGCAGACAACCGTGGTGTGTTAGAAATGGCTGGTTCCTCCACCCTAGCACAAATGCCATGGCCGTGAGCGGCCCCACCAACCAAAGGGGTGGGCTATTACCATGGTTAACCTTGACCACTGAGGAGGATTCAGAATCTCGCAGGACACACACCTTTGCGTGTGTCTGGGAGGGCAGGTTTCTGAGGAGTTTATCTGAGGAGGGAAGACCTGAATGATGGATGACAGCTGGGGATAAACCTGAGAGACGGAGCTGCGCGCCAGCGTTGGTGTCTCTCTGCTTCCCAGACTGTGGACGTCCTTGTCACCACAGTTGGAGCCACAGAGCTGCTTCTTCCACACTGGGAGCCCAAAGAGACCCTCCTCTCTCTGTTAAGTTGCGCCTGTCAGGCATTTTGTGGCAGCAGTAAGAGAGCAACTAAGGCGCCTGTCATCTAGCGGTCCCACGCCATTTGCTTCCCACCCCGAGGCAGTGTGGTCTTCCGTGGCATGCAGTCGTTACCAGGAGAACCAGAACAAGTGTCACATTGAGTGACGTGCCATCAACTGATTAAAACAAATGGTGTCAACAGCCTCATTGAATGCCCAACTGATGTGACATGACATAGAAACTCTCCCAACTTCCGCTCTTTGGTCCTCCTTAGTTATCCTCAAAGCAGAAACACCAGAGGAACATCCCTTCTGTTGCCGGGTGGTGAGGCCAGCTGTGGATCCAGGAAACCCTGGACGGTCTTTTGCAGTGCTGGGTGGGAAGTCTCTGGGATTAATGCCCAGGACTCTTAGGAGGCCAAACTGTCAACCAGCCACCTTTTTTCTGAGCTTGATGGGAAGGAGAGTTCTGCTCAGACTTCCCGGGGACCCTCTTGAGTCTGAAGGTACCAGGGCTCGCTTTGTCCCTCACCGTGTTTCAGAACTAGCCGTTCCTTCCAGACATAATAGTGACAGCCCACTGTGTACCAGGCTCTCTCGGAGACACTGGGGACAGCTGTCCTGGTCCTGTCTATCCTCTCTCATGCCTGTACACCGGAGGATCACGACAACAGTCAAGAGAAACACACAGAATTGGTGGCCAGAGCCAACCGGAACACGGAACAGAGAAAGGGGACATCGATAGCGGATCGATAGCGGGGGGGGGGGGGGGGGAGCTGAGGGTGATTAAAACAAAAAAAAAAGAGAGAGACCTCTGGGGAGAGCCTCTCTGAGGTTGACATTTCAGTAAATAACTGAAGGAAGGGAGGGACCAGGCCTGCCAGCTGTGGGGAAAGAGCCAGCTAGCTCGCAGGCGAGGCCCCGAGGCAGGCATGCCTAGGATGCTTCCCTGAGGGAAGAGGCACATTGCTGGAGCACAGTGGGGAGGAAGAAGGCAGGAGAAGCAGGACCGCAGAGGGGCTGAGGTGGGAGGACTCTCAGGTGTGTGTGTGTGTGTGTGTGTGTGTGTGTGTGTGTGTGTGACCCTGGCTTCCGGTGAGCTGGTAGGCTTCTGAGTGGTGTTTCTGAGTGGGATGGCGTGATATCATTTCTAGTTTAGTAAGCTGATGTTACCGTTGTGACGAGAGAGCTGATTACATTGGTGGCCAAGGATCAGGGGTCGGGGAGAGGAAACGCCGGGAGAAGCAGGGGCCCGAGAAGAGGCGGTACCCAAGATGGGTGGTGGTACCCTTGCCTGGCCTTGGGAGGAGAGACACGGGTGCAGGTAGCAGGTGGCCACAGAAGGTCATGCCGGCAGGGCTGGAATGACCAGATCCAGGATGGGACTTAGTGGCACAAGAAGTATCTAAGATGTCTCACTATTACTCAGCGTGGTCACCGAGGAACGGCTCTAATGGATGCAACTAAATGCCCATGGTACCAGGAGCTAGCTCATTTTCAGGATTTTTTTTTTCTCCCCCACGTTCCTTCGATTGCTTTTATCCCATCAAAGGGCCTGCGAGGTATCCAAGCGTTCAAGGCTGAGGGTACACAGATGTCTGCAGATTTCGAATCTGAAAGAAACGAAACTAGGCTACATGAAGTCGGGCAGGGGATCAGCTGGAGTTTAAGTACGGAATGAAAACAGAATGTGAGCCATTACAATTCTTCAGACTGTTGTTCCTGGAAGCCCGCCAGGTGATGCCTTGGGGACACGAGCAGAGGTTAACCAGTTAATATGCTTTCTTAAAAATTATTTGAATTTGTTTAAAAAAAAATCCATTGGCCATTTTCCTAACTGCAGAGGAACAATTTTTTTTTTTCCAGGAATGAGATTATCTTCAGAAGCCAAAGAAATGTAAAGAAGAGAGCAGGGTGTTTTTTGGATTAATTCCAGGAGATTACAGCTAGATTAAGGCTCAGGGATGCCCTCAATTACAAAGGCCATCTTGCTTTTAAACACACACACACACACACACACACACACACACACACACACACACACACACGCACACACTCACCTAGCGCGCACCCCAACTCAGTGAGTCTCTGAAGTCAGCGGGATAGATTTGAGAGACAACTCACTATTCTCTCTTTTTCCTAGTCATCTTCCTGCAGCCTAGAAATGTGTCCGTTGTGCGGTTTCCTCCTTCTGAGAGGAAGAGTGCAGTTCTGGGCTTACTTTAGAGACGCTTGTCACGGGTGACTGGTATTAAGAGTTGCTGGCAGGGTTAGTAAACTTCCTAAGAAGACTATCCGAGAACACGCTCTGTAGCAGACAGGACCAACTGGACAAACATGGAAACGGGTTCGGAACCCACCCAGAAAAAGACCTTGGAGGCTACAATCAGTAAGAGCGAGATGGAGTTTCCTTTTGGCCCACAGCTGTGCCTTATGGTCCGGAGTTTCTGAGAGAAGAAGGTTCTAGAATGACTGACCACAGAGTTGCTCAACAGTCTCCTGCCTCTGACCTACCTAGTTTGAAAGCGACAGCACTGTGGCCTGGAATCTATTTCCTCACCAGAAAAGCCCCATACAGAAACAACACAAACTGGCATTTTTTGTTGTTTTTGTTTTTTAATTCCTCTTACTCTATATTGAAAAGCCAATGTTGCAAACTCGACCCAATTTCTAAAGCTTTCAGTTAGTAAAGGAAAAAAAAAAGTCCAAAGAAGGTAACCATTATTCTCTTTGCCCATGTCAGCAGCCTCATTGTGACTCTCTTGGGGGCTTCTCTTGGGTCTAGCTACGCTTTCATGGCCAAGCTACCACGTGACACCCACGTGACCACTTCTCTGGCCACGTGACCAGCACCTTGCCCACGTGAGCCACAGCGGTGCAGGAAGCATTATCTCTTTCTCACCAAGTGCTGAGTGCTCCTGAGTTGTGTGGGGAGAGGGCTTGGCCAGCCAGGGACAGGGATCCCTGCTCTGTTGACGCCTCATTCTTCCGGTTCTAGCCCAGGCTGCTCTATTTCAGAGCAGGAAGGTTCGCCTGGAACAGCAGCTGAGGGAGGTCCAGAGGGCAGGGTGGGAAGACTGTGAGATGACCAGGCTCCACAGCAGCCTTACAGCTGTGGGCTCAAGCTCTGAATGCATACATGGCCATACATGTAATTTTTGAAATTGTCTGTAAGTATTTAAGCCTAGTGTATTTTATTATTTGGGGTACATATATTATGGTAATGATCCATGATCCAGTTTCAACTGTTTTGCTTAATATCCCTGCTATTAGCATGTATATTCTCTCTCTCTCTCTCTCTCTCTCTCTCTCTCTCTCTCTCTCTCTCTCTCCTCTCTCACACACACACACACACACACACACACACACACACACAAATAGAGAAAGAAAACTGTTATAAAAATTATTCTAATGAAATTCGGGTGATACCCAGA